TATAATGGCGTACGCAGGACTTCATTTTCTCCTTGTTTAAGTAACTTTCCAAAGGGAAAACTAATAAAAACGTATATACTAGCCATAAACGCTAGCCGTATGTAAACAACCCATCCATAAACAAAACAAAATTGAAAATTTTAGGTTAGTTTGTTCTAGTGTCGTTGAATCCAAATGATAGATCCATGACAGGCGTTACTGCGATCGTCTGGAGTTCGAATGTTCTGTGGATTACATACAACAATAACAAAAACCTAACCTCATAACGTCAGATGTAAGTGAAGAATTCCGCGCTGTAGCGCTGAATTGAACGATTAACACAAGATAAAATGATCTTCGCCATTGACTGACCGCTGAAACCATGAGTGCCCTCACTGAAGAACCCAAATCGACGCTCCTTAAAGAACGCCGCAGCAGACTTTGGGATCATATCAAGTATGAACATTTAGCGGCAGGTACTAGTGCAGGAGTTGCCGCCACCCTCGTCCTACACCCTCTGGACGTAGTGAAGATAAGATTTGCTGTGCACGATGGCATTCACAGCACCCCCAAGTATTCGAGCATTCCGAATGCGTTCTCTACAATCTACCGAACCGAAGGATTTTGGGGCCTTTACAAAGGGGCCACGCCTAATATATGCGGGGCTGGAGCTTCTTGGGGCCTCTATTTCTTTTGCTACAACGCCATCAAGAACTTTATTCAACAAGGGAATGTTAATACAGCCCTTGGGCCTGGCTCGCATTTGCTAGCTGCTTCTGAAGCTGGACTCGCAACTCTGCTGATCACTAATCCAATTTGGGTAGTGAAAACCAGGTGGGACTCCTCTAGTTACTTTGTGAGGGTGTGTTTTTAGAGCTACGCTCTATTTTCAGGCTATGTCTTCAGTTCGCCAATGCCGACGAAAAACTCCGCCCCAATCAGCGCTACAAGGGCATGTTCGACTGTCTGATGAAAATTTACCAGGCAGAGGGTGTTAAGGGGTACTACAAGGGGCTGACGCCTGGGATTTTTGGGGTGTCGCATGGCGCAGTGCAGTTTATGGTGTATGAAGAAATGAAGAATCGCTATCAATATTACAAGAAGTTACCGATTAGCACCAAATTAGGTAAATGAGCATTTAAGTTCTCCGGACCAGAAATTAACCAACCGAATCGTGTGTAGGCACAGTGGAATATTTGACTTTTTCGGCAACTTCCAAACTTATGGCTGTGCTGGCAACATACCCTTATCAGGTAGTTAGAGCCAGGCTTCAAAATCAGCACTATTCGTATGAAAATGCCACTGACTGTGTAAGGAAAATTAGCCTGCATGAAGGATGGCGAGGCTTTTACAAGGGACTAGGCACCAATCTGTTAAGGGTGATTCCTGCCACCATGATCACCTTCGTGGTATATGAAAACGTGTCCCATTTGCTTTTGAAATAAACAAAAGTCTGCAGGGTATGTGTATAATGTACATTTTCAGAATTATTTTTGTTTTCGTTTTAAGACGGGAACAATTATAGCGTTTTTTGTATGTTTTTAGGAAGACATGTTTTACTAGACCAATAGAGGTTGTTTTAAAAAACCCGCCACATTTTCCACTTACCTTGAGCCCCATTATTGGCATTTCTTTCATCAATAGACAAACTGCCCAATCCTGACATCACAGAATCTTCAAAACTGCTGCTTTCCTCGTCTTCGGAGACCTTTTCACTATTACTGAAAACGTTGCAATTTTGCTCGTCTGCAAAATAGTTCACTTTCACAAAGAAATCCTCTTCAAAATCGCTTGTACTTGTACCCAAGTTGGAATTGGCGTCATCGTTGCCCCAATCATCCGCCTCAAAACACCAATCCGTTGATTTCAGCTTGCAGGCCTCGGCCTGCGGTTTCGTTCCACTGCTTTCCAGATTTATATGCTGCACACGCAAGCAGGTCCAGCTGCCAAGAAAATTGATAATTAAGACTATTAAGGGTATGAGCCAATAGGCCATTTACCTCTCGCTCTTGTTCCAGCAGGTTGGATTTATACAGGCAAACACGTACAAAGTCCGATGATCCGATACACTGCCTAAGGGGGCATAGATTTGCACCACAAGGCGACAGGGAAATTTGCACAGTTTGCAAGTAATGTGTGTTTCTATGTTGTTGATGCTGTGGGGAAAATCCTAAGAAAAAGACCGTGTGTAAGCGGGATTCGGTGAAGGTATGCACAGAACTAAAATGGGAGATTTGGAACGCAGCACTTGAACCGGTAGATTTAAATATAAGTGAAGTTGTATAAAAAGGGCAACTTGGTATCTGGTCAACCAGATGGGATTAAAACAACTTGCATCTGTCGGGGGTGTAACTCAGTGGTAGAGTGTCCGCTTCGCATGCGGAAAGTCCTGGGTTCAAATCCCAGCTCCTCCACAAAATCTTTTTGCAACTTTTACTTTTAGCGGTATATTAAATAAGCGCTCAATATTCAATTCTGTTTGACAAATTGCAATTTAAGGATCAAAAACTTGAATATTTTTATACTTCATAAACGTGAACTTACAGGGTCTCCTCCAATTTTGTTCGTGGTAAAATTGACCTGATTTCTGTATTTATCGGTTATCAACTCGTCCTCGTAGCCTAGTAGTACTAAATTATTGTTTTTTGCCATCTTCTGTACTTTAAAACCACTTATTTACTAATGAGTTAAGACAATAGATATTTTTATAGGTTAAAGCACAGCGTCACAGATCACAGAGGTTACATACTGTGCTATCTGTCTCGTTCTATGATCTGTCCACAGATCACAGAGGTTCAATTACGAGATAATTTTGAATTACTGGAAGACGAGATTAGTGAGAGCGTAAAGAGGCAAAAAGTATTGAAAGAGAAAGTAAGCATTGTAAAATTTGAGGATGGTAAAGTTTTTTCAGCCACATTGAATTTAGATTGCAGAACTGTTAAAGACGCATCTACACATGCCAGCGGGAAAAGAGGACGAACTATATGCAACTTTGAAAAAAAGAAATGCTGATATTTACATTCAAAGATCAAAATTGTGTTCTTGGATGGAGAGTACCAAGTAATAAAGTTAAGTTTTCCATCGCTTTAACGCTGCGAGCAGAAGAAAGCAATGACAAATCATGTGCTGGCAAT